GGTCGAAGAATGCGTCCACCACTGCGAGCACAGACTGCAGCATCCTATCCGGACCAGGTGGGGCTGCATCTAGCAATTCTCTGAACATGTCCGGCAGAGCCTGTAGGAGACTTTTTGAAGCGCTTCCTCGCACTGTCGAGGCGGATCTGTTTTGAGCATTTCGTGCGCAAAGAGAGATGCAGACGAGCAGAAAACAGAATATTGTCCACACTCACCACCAAAAGGCAAGACTGGGTCCAGCGACACTACAGCTGACGCTACGCCATGTCGAGAGAGTTCGATTCGGAAATGGAGTATGAGTTGGCCGTCTCTGCGTGGGCGGGGGCGAGTGCAGACGGCTTTGAGCGGATGATCGCGGGGGCGGGCTGCTCATATCTGTGAGGGAGGGGTTGGGGGACTCACTTTGCGCCAGTAAAGACTAGCCTCTCTTCCTCCCTCCTGCCACTGCGCTTGACCAGCTCAGGTCTCGAGTTGGAGAGGGAATCGAACAAGGCGCTTCGCGCATCCATCAAGCCCACTCTTGTCCTGAGAGCGATCAAGAGGGCTACGACGTTGCCGCTGCTCTCCCATATCTGCAAAACGTCGCCCAGACTGGCTCTGATGGATCTGTCAAGCGTCAAGATGGACATTTTCGTCACCTGCGGCCGACTTTGAGCGTCTGCGATGTCCAAGCGTAGTTTGAGCACGCGGCTGGACCGACTGGGTGACGACGTTTTTGTGCGCGCCAAGGGCAAACGATACTCTATATCCAGAGAACGCTGCTTGGGACTAACGTCTGCAGTCTGCACGCTGATCAGTGCGATGCGAGCAAAGTCGCTTTGCGCTTGGAGCTGTTGTGCGGGGGGTGGGCACACGCTTAAGCCCAACGATCGACGCTCGTATCCCAGACACTGGCCTGCTCACCGCTTCTTTGGTCTTTTCCAATCTCGTTTGCACGTCATCGCCTGGATCGCTTAGCGGCACACCTCCGGCTTGAACAGGCGGACCGAGAAGGCTGTACGATGCGCTGCTGCTTGCCAGACCTATCGCATGCGCGTGCGGTTTGCCAGAGGGACCCAAGAGGTCCAGAAGCGCCCGAGGCGAGCTGGTCAAGATGGACGTGCTGGGGGTAGCAAGGAGATGGGGGCGATGTGTCGGGTGAGCCATGGCAAGCGTGCAATCCTTTCCCTCCCGAGCTGTGGCAAGCGTGCGATCCTCTGCCTCCCGAGCCATGGCACGCGTGCCGCCAACGAGACTCACATTGCAGCGTCGTCCGCTTGTGCCAACAGCTGTTCAATGTCGACGTCGGCACGATGAGCAGAGAGTCGCTCGGCTGACTGGCTAAACGCTTCCTCGGCATCCTTTACCGGCGAACCCTCCTGCCCCAGCGCCACCACCTCATCATACCTCGCCCTCTTCCACCTCCTTCTCCTGCTGCTCCTCTCCCTCTGCACGTCTGATCGCAATTTCGACACTTCCGATTCCAGTTGCGTCACCTGCCTCTCCAGCATCGCTCTCTCTGCTCTCTCCTTTGCCTCTCTCTGCGACTGCGACTGCGACTGCGACTGTGACTGTGATTGCGTTGCGCCAGGCGCGGTGGAGGTGGAGCCTTGGATGCGTGAAGCTCGACGAGTAGCGGAGCTTGCAGCTGCTCGACCAGCAGCACCGAGCGTAGTGTCGGTCTCATCGCGCGCCGCCCCGCTCGTAGCGCGAGTGGGTGTGGATGCTCGAGCAGAGGTGGCGGAGAGGGGATGAGATTTGCGCGGAGAGGTCCGTGTGCGCACCGGTGAGCCTGATGGGCCGGGTCCCGAGGGCTGGGATGAGGAGGAAGGGTGCGAGGACGACATGGAATGCGCGGTAGCGGCAGCGGTAGCGTGTTTTGCAGCGCTTGCTGTTCAGTCACGATGGCATCCAATGAGGGGCTCAGAAGGATCGCTAGGAGAGAGCGCGGAGAGCGGGGAATGGGTCAGAGGTGTGAATCGTGATTGATGTGTCGAGATGAGCGTGCAGGCAAAGCAGCAGGTGTTGATGTGATTGATGCCTGATTGCCGCGCGACGTGACGTGACGTGACGCGTGCGCCGTTTTCTAAAACGCGTCGCGCGTTGCGCACACCCTCGTTTACAGCTGCATTCGCCGCGGCTGCGCAGAGGTACTCCCGCTGACTCGCTCGGATGAGGATGCTGTGGACTCGAACTCATCATCAGGCTTCAGTGCATCACATCACGTGATGATCACATGCGATTTCCCGCGGGTCTCAAGTCACGTCTTGAGTCGAGTCGCAAAAGGATGACAAATACAGTATACAGGCCCCATCTCCTTGAACAAGCGGAACAGCAGCGGACAAATTCTCCTCCCCTTCATCGATGACGGGATGAGTGCATGAATCATGCAAAGCTCAGCAAAGGCGGTGCGGTGCGGTGCGGTGCGGTGGGGTGCGAATGCTGCGCAGGGCTTAGGCGGGTGGGTGGGTGGATGCACCGCGCCCTGCTAAATCATCGCCGTGTGCTGTGTGCTGATGACTGACTCCCCCTGATGCGCAGAAAAGGCCAGCCAGCCCAGGCACGGGAATCGTGGGAGGAGCCGATGCCGATGCTCGGCAGAATTGCCAAGCAGGCCATGGTGTGCGTATACGCACTCACTCTATCTGTAGCCCGGCGTTCTCTTGCAGCGGAGTCACGACGTCACCGATCATGCAGGGCAGGGCTGGCATACAGTACATGCATACGGTACGGCACATAGGGCCATCGAGCCAGGCACATGGCGATGGTTGCATGCCCGCGCGTCAGCAGTCAAGTCACCAGTCTGAGTGCAGTCACGAGTGCAGTGCAGTGCAGTGCAGTGCAGTGCAGCTCTCTCTCGGCTTTGAGCTTCCGTTTGCAGACATGTCATGTGTCTGCCGCTCAATCGCCTCTCATTCGCGAATCGTGATTTGCATGTACAGTCTTGAGTACCTCCCTTGGATGTGTCTCTTTGCTCTGCTGGATTGTCAAGATCCGCGGGAAAGTGTGAAGCCATGCAGCGGTCTGAGGCATGGCGCGCGAGGCGGTGTACTCACACTCTGACTGCATCCCTGTCCTGCACCTCATCTTGACTGACACTCTCTCACGTCTGACTCATCAGATCAGAACTCACCGCGGTTGATGGATGGCCTTGCTTGATCCGAGTTTGTACTTAAATAGGACCGCGTTGCTGGATGCTATGTTGCCAACTTGCCGTCATTCGTGATTCTTGTGGCCCTGCCCCTCCGTCACCGCTGCTGCATCTGCATCTGCGTCTAGTCCTCCATCTTGACCCGTCGCCTAGCTCATCACCCCTCGTCCCCGTCCCCGTCCCCGTCCCCGATCGCAAGCTCAATCACGAATCCCTTGCGCTCGCTCGCACGCCGCAATCATGTCTTACGACACGTGCACACAAGTCTCGCCCGACTGTCCCGTATCCGCATCGACCAACGGCTACGCGCCCAACTTTGGCGGCAACCTCTTCTTCGCCATCGTCTTTGGCCTCTGCCTCCTCCTGCAATTCATCCTCGGCATCAAGTACAGGACCTGGACATGGTGGGCCGCCATGGTTAGCGGATTGGTGTTGGAGTTGGCCGGCTACATTGGCAGACTGTTGCAGCACAATAATGTTTGGGATGCCAACGCTTTCAAATTGCAGCTCGTCACCCTCATCCTCGGCCCTTCCTTCTTGTCCGGCAGCATCGACTTGACGCTCAAGCACATCGTCATCGTGTTCGGCAAGCAGTACAGCCACATCAAACCTGCACTCTACACTTGGTTCTTTATCGGTCTAGACTTTTTCAGCATCGTCATTCAAGCCATTGGCGGTGGTCTGGCATCCGCAGCCACGTCCGGCAGCAACAACAATGTCAACATGCTCAATACGGGCAACCACATGATCCTCGCTGGTATCGCCATTCAAGTTTTTCAATTGGTCCTCTTTGGCATCGTCACTGCAGACTATGTTCGTCGTCTCTTTCAAGCTAGAAAGCGAGGAGGCGAGACGCTGAGCAAGGAAGCCGAAGCGTATTTGGCCGACTGCAAGTTTAGAGGTTTCTGCGCTGCCATCATCATTGGCTACTTTGGCATCCTCATCCGCTGCATCTACAGGTGAGCAGGGGCTGTTCAGACAAACACATTGCGCGCGGGCTGCCATGACTCACATCTCCGCGCGCGCGCGCACATTCCCCCCCCCCCGCCGCAGATTGCCAGAAATGGCCGACGGTTGGGGCAACGGCTTGCAGAGGAATGAGCCCTCCTTTCTCGTTCTGGACGGCGGGTGAGTGTGGGACGGCGCCGTGTGGGACGGCGCCGTGTGGAGAAGAGGGGGCGGGGCATGCGTTCGCATTCCACCCGCCCGCTGACCCTTTCATTCCTGATCGCCTATTCGCTCGCAATACAGCATGGTCGCCATGGCATCCATCGTGCTCACCGCATTCCACCCTGGATACTCGTTCATTCAGCTATCGAACGTGAGTATGTGCGCGTGCGCGTGCGCGTGGAGCGAGTCGAACACAATACTGACTTGGCATGCTTGCTCGCTCCCTCGCAAACTTGCAGGGCTACCGCAAAAAGGCTGCTCGGGAGGCGGATGACGATCGCGAAAAGGTGCCTGCCGCGGCCCGTACTCTTGCTTCATCCAGCCATTCCACTGGCTCGACCGCATAAGGTCGCCTGTTCAAATCCAACATTGCCCACGCGTCTCCTCGTTTGTACATAGCAATGCCTCTCCTTTTCAGTGTTCCCTAGCGCACGTATAGACAGCAATTTGTACATCGCAATGTCCCATAGCGCACGTGTAGACAATTCCAAAAATTGTATAGCATTACGGCGAGGCGACGCTTTTCATAGCGATGCGCGATCCTCACCAAGGGACAACGCTGCCGTCGTAGTGGTAAAAGGTGGCGCTGTTTTCCAAGGTGAGGGATCGAATGACGTTGAGCATGCCACCGACGCTCTGCTCTACGGGCATGGCCTTATCGTTGACAATCTTGTTGCCCATATCCGTGCTCACCCAACCGGGAGAGAGCGGGTTGACGATGAAGCCTTGGGGTTTGAGTTCGCGCGCCAGCTGGATGGCAGACATGTTGATGGCCGCTTTGGTCACCGACTGCCGAGCGCGGGGAGGGCGGGGGGTGTGAGGAAATGAGCGGAAGGAGGAATTGAATTTTGATTTGAAATCGCGGGGAGAAATCACGTGACGCGCCAACACTCAAAACTCTTGACTCAACTCACGTACGGACCTGCGCTTCCATGCTTTTGCTGCAAGTTGGCTTGAATGTCCAGACTACCGCTGCGAGAGCTGATGAGGATAATCTTCTTTTGCTTTCCCCTTTGCAGCGCATCTAGAAAGGCGAGAATGATGCGATGAGGGCCTACGACGTTGTTCTCGAGATACTGCGAGAGCAGCGATGGTTGCGTGTCCATCAGATCCAAATCTTCCCCACCGATGGCCGCATTGACGATCAGAACGTCCTGCATGTGGATGCGCAGAGCGTGAGCGTGAGCGTGGGCGCGCGAACGAATCGAATCGAAACGCAAGGCAAGGCAAGGCAAGGCAAGGCAAGGCAAGACAAGGCAACGCACCAGCTCATCCACTTGCTTGGCCGCCTGGTCCACTTGACTCTGCTCGTTGGTGTCCAGCTGCAACCACTTTGCCCTTTTGAGCTCCTGCTGCCCCGTCAAGCTGGCCGCCTTTTGCAGATTGCGCACAGTGCCATACACGACATTTTCATCCTGCTGCGCCAACTGTCGAACGAATTCCAAGCCGATGCCCCGAGAGGCTCCTGCTACCAGGTACGATGTCGGCATGCTTGATTTGCGTCGTGGAGAGGAGGTTTGCTGTGAGGGAGGATCGGAGTCGAGTGTGCAGTGTGAGTGGACTCGCTTGGTGATCGCTGTGATCAGAATGCACGATGGCCGCCCCATCCCCCCGCGCTTTAAAGGGATCGTTTGCATTCGCTCTGAGGTGGCTCGAGCGCAATCGCAATCGCAATCGCAATCGCACGTCCCATCACGGATATGAATGTGGAGTCGCGGGAATCATCGTGGAAGATGATCACAATCAAATCAATGCAGCCCCCCGATGCATGCGCCCACCCGTCACGCACGGCAGGCACGCACTCAAGACTTACGGCCGTTGATTCACTCACACTTGCAGGCTACGCACGCAGCAGTCTTGAATTCGAGGGCGCCCGCGCGGGCACGCACGTCGAGTCATGGTCACGTGATTCGTGACGCGCGCGACTCAACTTGAACACAAAGTCACGTGATCAAGGCATGAGAACCCTCCCCTCGTCAACTCAAACTCATGTCAACTCGTGACTGTATGTGCACGCACATGTGGAGGGGAGGCACTCTTTGACTCAAACTCACACCTTGTGACTCGAAACTGCACGGCACGATCCGTAGGCATGACATGACTCATCACTGCTTCGTCGTCCTGCAGTCGATAGACATTTCCACTCGACTCCACTCGACTAACCACGAGCGGAGGGATGCTCCTGAAGCAAGAATGTCGGATCGTGAAGGAGCAAGCAAGCAAGCAAGCAAGCAAGCAAGCAAGCAAGCAAGCAAAAGCTGGGGCCAAGATGGGAGCGGAAGCGGGGGAACGCCAAATAAGCAGACTATGTGTGCGGCCGAGTGGGGCGTCGAAGAAGCAGAGACGCAAGCGAATCACGTCACGAACCACATTACCAAAAGGCTGCAAGGAGAGAGGCGGCGGCGGCGGCGGCGGCGGCGATGCTGAATGGAGTGCCGTATTGCGGCCCTGCACGCACACGCATACCGACCACGGGTAGGCAATGGCGATGGCGATGGCGATGTTGTTCGCGAGTGCCTGCCTGCGCATAGAGCGTACATGCGTCTCAGCTAGGCAGCTGCTTTGCACGCCACGCCACGCCACGCTTTGGCCGGGCCATCGCATGCGCCAACAGCCAACAGCCAACAGCCAACAGCCAACAATCACAAATCGCCGATGCCCTCGCTGATCGCGGGCTTGTCGGACGCCCGCCTCGCAGTCTTCATGGATGGGCTGAGCTGAGCGTCAGTCAGGTTCACCAGATTTGCTGCTGCTGCTGCTGGCTCGATGGGCTGGCTGGAAATTTGGGCCCGTGCATGTGCATGTGCAAGTGCAAGTGCAAGTGCAAGTGCACGCCATCGGCGTATCGGCGCGTACAGTAGATCAGTCGCCGGACGTTTGTTCCTCCATGCGAAAGTGTCGCGGCAGCGGCAGACGAACGCTTGCTCTCGCTTGCTCTCGCTTGCTCGCTCTCTCGCCATCCCGTGATCATCGCTGATGCGGACATGCAAAAACACACCCAGCCAATCTTAAAGGCAGGCAGGCAGGCCGTCGCAGGGCAGCGAGCGGGCTGCATGAAGCATGAAGCTGGATCGGCATGGCCATGCAACGGGGCGCCCATTCACCTTGCATGCCTTCAGCCCCGGCTGTTGGTCGAGCCTCTTGGCACAGCCCTAGCCGTTGCGGCGTACAGCAGCAGCAGCAGCAGCAGCAGCGGCAGTCAGCTTCGTCTTTCGTCTATCTGCTCCTTCTGTCCATCCTACCCAGCCAACTGTTGATTCAGATCCGAATTCTCCAGTCATGCATATCCGCACGCCTCATTGTGTGCTCACACTGAACTCGGTCGCGCGTCACAAGTCGGGCTGCCTGCTGCTGACGAGGATGGCGTGTACGGTCACGAGTCAGCAGCAGGCAGCAGATGTTATCCTCGTCAGCAGCAGCAGATGTTATCCTCGTCAGCAGCAGCAGATGTTATCCTCGTCAGCAGCAGCCAATCTGCTATAAGAAGCCCCGAGATTTGCCCCTTCAATCACAATCTTTTCGCTCCTCAGGAACTGGATTCCCACCAAAAGGCCCCCACTCTGCGCGGTTGCTCTACAAACACTCCTCTCACTTCTTTCACTCACCTATCCACTGGTAAGTCGAGATAGTGGCGTACCTCTCTGCAAGCAAGGCCGCATCGTCGTCGTCGTCGTCGATTGCTCACCAACATTGCTGCTCCTTTGGCCCCCCCCTCGTGCTCGCTGCAACTCTGCCTCAGATTGGAAAGTTTTCATCCCCTCCTTCGATCGCAGCATCACATCACCCCACCTCGACTCGTCAATTTCTCCTCAACATGAAGCTCACTGCGAATCTCGCCCTCCTAGCCGCGCTGTTCACGCTGATCGCCGTTCCATCCTTGGCCATTCCCATACCTGCAACACCTCTAGCAAAGCCAGTCCCAGGGTGCAACAATCCGTCGTGCAGCGCGAAAGACTCACAATTTCAAAGGGTGATAAATGACCCCCCAACCCGTCCGGGAGATCCGGGACCGATCGGACATTCCGAAGTCATGGCCAAATTCCAATCCATCGACGTGAGGGCGAGGGCGGACCTGCTGGGTAAAGACGCACCGCCAACAAAGACTTTTGAGGACGTGATGAAAGAAGGTCCGACAAAGCCTCTATCACCAAGGCGCATAACGGAACTGCCCAAGTCTCCGAACCCAAACCAACAGTACGGAGGTCCCAGAGGCAAGGATTGGGGTCCGATGATCCCTATGCCCTACCCTGGCGCTTTTGGGCATCCATCCCAGAGATTACGGGCCCGAGCGGACGCAAACGGGCTAGGTCGGGAGGAACCTCTGAAAAAGACTGCTCAGGACCCGATCACGGAAGGAGCGAAACGTCCCCCAGCACCAGTGTCCAAGTACGCATACAGGGATTTAGCATCGGGCCTGCAGCGTCATCTTCCTAGAACGAATCGGCCATTGCCTGGCGAATTGATCATAGCCTCCCGCCCCAACGGGGGCAACGTGGCGAATCCAGACGGTCCTGAAAAGCTGGATCGGCCATTGCCTGGAGCACCCATTATAGCCTCCCGCCCCGACGGGGGCAACGTGGGGACTCCACCTTGATCTAGAACACCACGGTTACATCCGTGTGTCGAGCATGACACGGAACTTACGAGCAGGGACGATGCAGGCAGACGCTCGCCGGAACGAGCACCAAGCTTTTGTTGGCTGGAGTTGTAGCAAAGAACTCAAAAGTCGATGTGCGCGGGTCAAGGAGTCACGAGGCTCGCTTTGATGTCTTGTAGTCAGGCGAACAGCGAACGAAATTTGATGAGCGCGTTCGATTCAAAAGGTTGCTGCTCTTTGTTTGTAGCGAAGATAAACCCAGCGTCTTCCTGTCGAGTCAACAGCATAGTGTGGTCCTTGCGTGCAGGCTTATCGTGAATTGACTCAATCAAAGTTTGAATTCTTGATTATGCTCGGAGACTCGAAACTCGAGACGCGGACTGTCAGTCACGTGACTCGCGTTTGGGCTCTGCGCACGGCTCATCCGGGCTTGTGCGAGCGGAAGCAGCAGAGTAGCAGACGCGCACGCACACGCACACGCACCCGCATATACTCGATGCTCACGATGACTGCTAGGCTTCAAGCGCTCAATTGCTCTCTCTCTCGCTCGCTCGCTCGCACACCATCATCACTCGCCATTGGACGCCCGTGAGCGCTCATAAGTCCTGCTCACGATTGAAAAGCTCCAGCTCCAGCTGCACGCTCGAGCTCCAGCTGAAGCGCAAGCGCGCGCTGCAGAGGAGATTCGCAATGTTCGACGAGTGGGTAGCTGCTTCCTCTGCTCACTGTGCAGCCTCGTAGACCTCGACACACTAATCCGCACATTCCTTGCCACGCTCTGCTTCAGGTTCGTGCAAAGTTCGCGCGGAGCGGATCACGGTGCTGCATCGCCGCTCTTCCCGATCGGAGGCAGGGGACCGAGGGAGAGGGAGCGCGAGCGCGAGCGCGAGCGCGAACTGGATGGGGTGGAAGGCTTCGAGGATGATTTGCACGCAAGATCACCCGGCTTGGAGTTTGGCGCTGCAGGTGGGGGCAGCGTGCCAGTGACTGCTGTGAGTGCAGCGGCACTCGCGCGGACGCAGGCAGGGGATGAATGCTCACAGGTCTCGTTTCGCACCCCCGCACAGCTCGAGACCGGCTTTGTATCTAGCGACTTGGACATCGGCGGTGGTGGAGGTGCGGCGGGCAGCGGCAGCAGCAGCAGCGGTAGCGGTGCACCCATCTTTCAGCTGGGTCGCGTGCAGTACGCCTTTCCAGCGCCATTGGCGTGCCTCACCGTCTGCAACAACATCCTCACCATGTGTCTGTACGCCCACGTCCACGCCCACTCTGCCACGGGCGCTGCAGGCCTGTCCAGCTCGCCATCCGCTCCAACAGCAGCAGCAGCAGCAGCAGCAGCAGCAGCGGTGGCGCGACCGCGATTGGTGAGGATCAATCTGGACGATCCCGAAAGAACTGAAGAGGCAGAAATCCCCTTGCCTCCTCTTCCTCGCACCCGCAGCGGCGCACAGGACCCGAGCTTAGGCGCAGTGGACCAATCGCCGCACAAGATGTTCTCCGACCCTTTGGGAAGGCATCTGCTCATCAGCACACGCAGCGGCGACAACTTTTACTGGAACAGCGGGTGGAAGCGAGCGAGGATACTGAGCAAGCTCAAGGGGATTGTGGTGGAGTGCGTCGCCTGGAACAGAGCCGCTCTGAGCGAAGGCGTGGGATCCGGCGCAGCATCAACGTTGGAGATTCTGCTGGGCACGCGCAGCGGGCAGGTGTACGAGACGGTGCTGGTCGCGCCACTCGGTGGAGATCCAGACGCTGGCGATGGTGATTTCTTTGATCGCTTGGCACGCAGAGCCGCTGGAGTGGGCGGGGCAGCGAATGCCGCGTCCGGTTTGGAGATCGATAGGGTGCTTCGCAAGCTTTGCACATTGCCGGAACAGCAGCCGGTCACGGGTCTGGTGGCAGAGCCTCTCGTCAAGGAGGCTGGGGCGCTTGGAGCCGCTGCTGCTGCTGCAGAGAGGGCGGTGGTGGTGGTGACTACGAGCACGCGCATATACGAGTTTGTGGGAGCGCTGGGCAAAAAGGCGAGGTCGAGCAGACGAAAGGATGCGGATGCCTTGAGCGACACGAGCGAGAGCCTGTACGCGCCGATTTTTGAGCCGTACAGCAAGCAGGACATTGCTCCGCCATTGAGTGAGTGGCCCAGAGAGGAAGCTGCGAGGAGCGAGGAGCTCATGCGAGGTGATCAGGCGAGGTGATCATGCGCTCACGCTTGGTGCTCATGCGGGGTGATCATGCGCTCACGCTTGGTGCTCATGCTCGCGACTGGGGTCATTGCAGGATCCGAATTGCCAGGAGATTTGCCCTACTCTGAGCTTCACACGTGGGGTTCCGATATCCGCAAAGCGCCCAAGTCCTTGGCTTGGCTCACTGGTGCGTGAATGCTTGCGCGAGCGTGGCAATGCCTATCATTGACCCCTCCCTCGCTCCGCAGGGCCTGGCGTGTACTACGGCCGGCTCTTGTTCGTCGAAGATTCGAGCGACGAGAGCGTGCTGGTCAGCGCCAATCTGCTTCCTTATCCGGCCGTCTCGGCTTTGGAGGAGCAGGGAGAGGATGGAGCGGTGGCAGAAATCCCGTTGAGCATCGCCCTCAGCGAGTTTCACTTTTTGCTGCTGTATCAAGATCGCATCACCGGCATCAGCGCGCTAGACGATCGAGTCGTCTTTGAAGAAGCGCTGCCCCTCAAGCCGCACGAGAGGGTGATCAGGACGACGTTTGATCCAGCGCGAAAGACGTATTGGATATACACGGACGGCAGCATCTTTGAAGTGGTGGTCAAAGACGAGGATCGCAATGTCTGGTGGATCTACCTGCAGCGCGGACAATTCGACGCGGCGCTCAAATACGCAAAGGACGACTTGCAGCGAGATGCGGTGCTCTCCAAGCAAGGCGATCGCTTCTTTGCGGAAGCGAGGTACATTCAAGCTGCTCAGTGCTACGCCAAGGCGGCTAGAAGAGGTTTCGAAGAGATTGTCCTAAAGTTTCTGGATTTGGGTCAGAACGATGCTCTGCGGTACTTTCTGGTTGCGAGGCTGGAGAGGCTGCGCAAGACGGTGAGTATGAGCAAAAGTGCGATGCGAGACGCGCCAGCGCTAATGCGAGGCCATCTACAGGAAGTCACGCAGAGGATCATGCTCGCCACATGGCTCATAGAGATTTACCTTGGCAAAATCACCTCCCTCGAAGACACTTTTGCCAGCGCGCAAGCATCCCCAGAGGCCGATAACTACAAGTTGGAGCGTCAAATGCTGGAAGAGGAGCTGAGAGCTTTTTTCGCAACGTACAAGGACTGCCTTGACGCCAAGACGGTGTTCAGCTTGATTGGGCAGCACGGAAGGACGGAGCTGGAGCTGGCATTTGCAGAGGTGGTGGGAGACTTTGAACGCATCGTCAGGCATTGGATTGGCGAGGGCAATTGGAGCAAGGTCATCGAGACGATCAGCAGTCAAGTAAGTCGCGGCGGAAAAAAAGGTTTGCACCAGCACCCGGCTTACCCCCCTCCCTGGCGCCCTCGAAAGCCCTCTTTGGACTTGTACTATCGCTTCGCGTCGGTGTTGATGCGCAACGCATCGTCTGCGACGGTAAAGGCGTGGACGAGGCAAGAGGCGCTACAGCCCAGACGCTTGATCCCCGCTCTGCTGCAATATCGTCCACGGCCGGGACAAGCAAACGAAGCGGTGCGATACCTCCAACACGTCGTCAATGAGCGGTACAGCTCGGACCCGGCGGTGCACAATCTGCTGCTCACCCTGCTTGCCAAAGGAGAGGGCAGCGCTTCTTCCGAAGCGGGAAACTCGGCTTTGCTGTCTTTCATCGACGATAGCCGATCCAATCCGATGACTGGAGCGCCGTACTTTGACCTCGACTATGCGCTGCGAACGTGCAGTGCTCAGGGCAGGCATGAAGCCTGCGTGAGGATTTATGCAAAGATGAAGCTGTACGAGAGCGCAGTGGACATGGCGCTGGATCGAGGGGACGTGGAGTCGGCTTGCCTGTGCGCCGAGCTGGTCACGAGCGATGCGGAGCTGAGACGTCGACTTTGGTTAAAGGCGGCAAAGTACGTGGTGCAAAATAGGAGGGACCTGAAAGCGTGAGTGTGGGGGGGGGGGG